TTGTCGTGATTTTTTTTTACGGAGAGGAAGGGAGAGAGATAGAGAGTTAGAAACATCGATGAGAGAGAAACATCGATCAGCTGCCTCCTGCACACCCCTTACCGGGGACGTGCCCGCAACCCAGGTACATGCCCTTGACCGGGAATCGAACCTGGGACCCTTCAGTCCGCAAGCCGACGCTCTATCCACCGAGCCAAACCAGCTTCGGCATCCTTCAGCATTTTTGAAGGGCTAAGAAAAAAGTTAACTTTCCAATGTCACTGAGAAGAATCTAGAGATGACAGTGGTTTTTATTTCTGGAAATGAAGCAAATAAGCATAAAATTTAAGTTCTGAAGACAATTCTAGGCATAAATTAAACCAGCAGTTCTCAAATATTTTTGTTTCAGGACCCCTGAACACTCACAAAAATTATTGAGAACACTAAGGATATTTTTGCTTGTGTTGTTGAAACCTATTGATATTACCATTTTACAACTGAAAACTGGAAAAAATATTGATATATTAATCATTTTAAAACAGCAATAATAAACTCATTACATGCTTACAAATAAGCAACATATTTTATAAGAAATAAGTATACTTTCTAAAACAAAAAGTTAGTAATAAGGGAGCATTGTTTTATATTTTTACAAATCTCTTTAATGTCTACCTTAATAGAAGACAGCTAAATTTTAGTATTTCCTTCTGCAATCAATTTGTCTTTTGCTATTTATGTTGATTTAAGTCTATAAGGAATGTCTAGGTTTGTATAAAAATATAACTAAAAACGGGGGAGGATTTAATAGTCTTTTTAGATAGCTATGGGTATTCTTCCTTGATATTTTTAACCAAAATTTGACAAGTGGTAGTTTCTTAGAGTTAAGTTGCAATGTGAAATCATACTCTAATACATTAAAACCCATTGGTCTATTTTACATTTTGAATCAATCTTTTTACCCAGGCATGGTTTTGTAATAATATGCATTGATTATCTGGAAACTATTGGTTCACTGAGTTATACAGATCTGCCAAATGTTGACACATTTCATTTTACAAAATAAATAAGTCACACTTGCTCACTGCAAGGTTTTTAAGTATTGAGAAACAGGCAAGCTCACTTTGGCAGATGAAAGTGTTCCAAAATTCTAATTTTTGTTTGAAAGCTTAAATTTTTATCATTGGCAACAAGTACTATCAGTAGTTTTTCTTGTAGTCACTGACTCACTTCATTTTCATGAAAATGCATTCCAGATACCCATGTCCAAATAACCGAAATCTGTCAGTCGTATTTTTCAAGTGAAAGTCATGTTCCGTGAAAAGCACAGCTAGTTGAACTCACAGTGCACTAGCAGATACTTTTCTTCGGGGCAACTACCATGTTTGGTCAAAGCAGAAGTGCTTTATTTGTGATTCTCATTTCGTGACATGAAACACTAAAAAGACAGGGATTCCAGGGTCAAGATGTTATCAAATTAATATTCTGTACTGCTTCATCAAAGATATTCTTATGTGAAAATCTGCACCTTTTAAACTACAGGCAAGAGGGGCAGAATAAAGCAATGACAACTTGTACAGTTTAGTGCCTCTGCCTCAAGTCATACAAGGAACTACCAGACAGCATATTTGTGGCAACCACTGCTTCTGCAGTGCAGTTGTCAATAAAATGAGAAAGACATCTTAGTATTTTCATAAAATTAGGCTTGACCTTTGGAGAACTCCTCAAACATATCGGAGACCCCAGGGCTACACTTTGAGAATGACTTCAGTAAGCCATAAATATGATCGAGGATGATGATGATGATGATAAAACTATTTCATAGCATCCCTGTCTTCAAATCATTCTAAGATGAAAGTAAGAGCTCTATACTTCTATTCTTAATAGTTTCAGGAATGAAAATTTGTAATATTTCTGACAATCAAATTCCGATGTTCAACCTATTAGACTCAATTAACACTTTTCCTATGTTAACAATCTAAACTTGACTCTTTCCAATATAGATACACTGTATTCTATTTCTCCCATGTGGGCTTGGGGAATAACCAATCATGTTTTCTTTTTCTTTCCTGCGATTCTACTAGCATAGTTGGGACAGCCTCCATAGGGAAGTTCACTCTTCTGCAATCTAAGGTTTGACTGGCCTCATTCAAATTCTGAGATTTCTGGGAACAGGCAAAGTTGCATACCTAGGTGGAGCTAAACCAACACCAACCCAATCTAGATATAGAACTTGTGAGACAAGCCAGAATACTTACTGTAATGGTCCAGAAAGCCAGAGAAATACTCAAAAACTATTACTTAGGCAGGTTTTTCAAATTTATGTGGTTTGTTGGGGGTTTTTTTTTTCCAGTTTGGTTGTTTATGCAGTTTAACTGAAACTAAAAGTGTTTGTTATCTGAACTATGAGCCTTTTCATTTTTTGATATTAAAACACATTCATAAGTTCAAAAAAGACTTTGAGTATCTACTATGTTCCATTCTAGGTGTGAGAGAGACAATCATGAACAATAAGACCTTATTACACTCAGCGCTCTTTCATCTTTGCGGTGAAAATGGATAACCAGTAAGTGAACGGACTTATTAGTAACAAAGAAAATATAAGAGTTTGATCAATGCTAGAAAAAAAAAGTAAAACTCGGCGAAGAAATAGAAAGTGATTAATTGAAAGAACAGAGTGAGAAAGTCTTCATTGAGGAGACATCTTTGGAGCTGAGACTTGAATGACTAAATCCTGAAGAGCTGGAATAAGAGAGATTCAAAGAGAGAAGCTAGGAAGTCCTGGTGCCCTGAGATAGGAACTGAAACAGTCTGACTGCAACACAATGACCAAAGGGGAGAATTACAGGAGAGGTCAGAGCCATAGACAGGTGCCAGGTCCTGAGGAACTGAGGGGAAGCTGGCTTTCCCTGGCACTACAATGGTTCTCACGTCCTCATGGACGCCATCTGTCTTTTAAAAAATAGATGATGATATTGAAATATAGAAGGAAAGATGACAGGTTAGAAGTCACAAGACATCCCATTGTATCATAGGAGAAAAAAAGGAAAGGAAAATGAATATTTATTAAGTACTAGTAACTGCCAAACTTTGAACTATGTATTGATCTTGTCTCAAATAATTCAACTTTGGTTAGTTATTTGCTTGGGTCTCTAAGCCTCAGTGGCTATAACCCTATAAAGTGGAGGGAGTAATAATTAATATTTGTTGCAGTTCTATTATGGATTGTCATAAAGGTGCATGAAAACCAACATGTAAAGTTCTTTGACGACTGAGTATCTATTAAAAGGTATTTTCATTATAAATAAACATATTTCTTTAAGTTAGAGATTTGTATGACATTGGTCCTGCCTACTCTAGGACAGTCTCTTTCTGATATAGAAAAATACCACTAATTGTAAATCTCATGATTATCACCATCCAAAGTGCTAAGAGGGACAATGAGATGTCCCAATTTGAGCTGTAATGAAGCCTGTGACCTAGATACTTTTTTCATGCTCTTCCAATTCATGTTTTTCTTATTAATCACTTCAATTTGCATATATACCCTTCTAAAACCACTTGCAAAGGGAAAGACTCTCTTGTTCCTTGGCATCTTTTCACAGACATTGAGCTGTTGCAGTCACATTTGACACCTGTGAAGTAGTTTCATGAGATCTCACATTACTGAACAGGAAACCAAGATGATTACGAATCTTTGAAAACTTGGACAGGACTGATAAGGACAGTAAAACAGCCTAATTAATTAAGCTGGCCAAGATGGTTGATAAGAAAGGTGTTTATACCCAACAACTAAGAATGTTTTAACTACTGAAGTACTAGTACATTTGACATGTGGGGAAAAAAAAACACTTCAAAATATTGTATTTAATAAAGTTTCCATTATAATTATTCATAGAAGCTTTCAATACATATTGTTTCACCTACTTATGTGGCAATCAAATAGTAGCGTAAAAGTAAATTACATGTGGAGTGTAATTATATATTCTGTGAAGTGCATTAAGTTTAAAGATAATGGCTAAAGTTTCATTTGCTAACTTGTTATTATTTCTAGCAGCTCATTAAGCTTCTGACTCAAACTGTGAACTTATAAGAGCAAAGACCTTATAATTTACATTTGCAACTGCTGGCTCTTTCATACTTTGGGGCATAGATACTCAAGCAATCTTACCAAATGAAAGAAAGCCCACTCCCAAACAAATTTACCTACAGTGAATTTTTTAACTCCAAAATTCAAGCTCACTACTTACCTCTGGTATACAAGCCCCTGTGAAACCAAACAGCCCATTGGCATTGTCACTTTTTTGTATTATTAATCTTGCTGTAGTATTCTGTTCAGAAATACGAGCTCCTCCATATACAGAGACTAGTTTAAGGATGAATAACTCTTCTCCTTCCTCTTCATTGTCATCTTTTGCAGAAACAATGAAGGATTTGTTGGTTTCTCCCTGTCTGAACTCCAGATACCCAGAGACAGGGTGTAAATCACTCTTTGCTGGCATGGCATGAAGTTCATAAATTTCTTCAAGGGTCAGTTTCTGCTCATAGAACCTCACATCCTGCATCAGACCTGTAAATCTGTCATTGCCATTCATTCCTGCCCCAATTCTCAGAGTTCCAGGACCTGAAATGAGAAGCGGGTTTATTAAATGCTTCAACATCCACTAGTCTCCTGTCCTAAATTACAAGTGGGATTCAGAAAGTGAAGCAACTGTATTGAAAGGTTTTATAAGTAATGCTTTTGCATAACTAGAATGTAATCAAAAAAAGACTTTCTGTTTTGATGAAAAAATGATTCAATAATCACTGGGATTTAAGATATTTTATACTAAAGGATATTTTATACATGTGTATGTATGCATGTGTATATATCTGGATAGACATTTCTTCCAGGAAATTTTAAAATTTCCTTGCACATCTAGGAATAAAATCATTTAACTCAGTTACAATTTTAATACTTTAGTATGATTATTTTTTTAAAATTTCAAGGCTTGATCTGTTAGAAATTCATCTTGAGTTAAATAAAATATTGAGAATTTAAGAAAATACGTTTTTGTGGACCAAATATAACTATCCATAAAACTAATGCAATGAATGTAGAAGAAAAAACTTTTTTCTTCCCAGGAACAGCTTTATATGTGAGTCTTGGGTAAAAACAACATGCAGCCCTTTTCAAGAATTCACCAATTCTCATTCTTTACTTATTCCCTCTCCAAGGCTTGGCAGTGATTTGGGGGAAAGTACAAGTCCTATTCCTTATCAAGATCACCAATCAAGGCAATTTTACAAGTCAATGTCCAGATAGCTCTCTTAGGGTAGTTCACATGCAGCCTACACATTATTATCACAGTTGTCCCAGGCCTTCTCTAGTGGTTCTGGGCCGACTATATAGTAATGAGAGTGAAATAACTAAACAGGGAAAAATATTGATGAACCTCATAAACAATACTAAACAAAAGAAGCCAGACCCTCAAATGTACACTGCTCAATTCCATTTACATATATTTTAAAAAGGGAAAGCTACTCTTATGCTCTTGCAAAGAGCAATACTAGGTGGACAGGGTGGTGAGTTAGAGACTTGAAAAGAGCCAAAAGGGGCTCCTAAAATGCTGTTTCTTGATCTGGGGGCTGGTTACATGGGTTTAAAGTTTTAAAAAATTCAACTACCTGTACACTTATTATATGTACACGTTTACATATTTTATAATATAAAACACATACTATATTTCATTAATAACTTTTAAAACTACAGACACCCTTTTAATTTTCTTTCCAAGTTTCAAATTTCAAAAACAATCTAAGTTCCCTGCAGTAAGCTAAACAGAGGAATAGAAACACAGCTCTCACTAACACCAATTTTTCCCATTCTTATTCTACCACCATGCTATCACCAATGGAATCAAAGTTAACACATACATGTACATATTCATGCGATCAAAAAGTGAACAATTCAATGCCACAAATACTGTAAGCATACATCTTTTTTTCCTAATAAACTAAAAAACATAACCAGATATCTAATGCAGGAGGTTCAGAAGAAAATATCCTATTACACAATAACCAAATAAAGGCTGCTCTACTTCCTTAGTAAATGAAAAACAGAATCAACTCTTAAGATGGAGGGGCTGAAGGGGAATTTGTGATTATAATGGACATAACCAATATTGTGTGTAAACATGCTAAATGTGCTTCTCAAGAAACAGCATCAGCTCCAGCTTAAAGACCATAATGATGATCTTTTCAAAGCACTCCACAGAATTCACCAATTTACTCCTTACACTATAAACCCATGAAACTGCCGGGGTTTTTATGTAATATTTCTCTTGTGCTTTCTCTTTAACATATCTTCACCACCTCCCCCCTCCAACAATATTGAGCTAGCAGCAGTTCCCATTACAACGCGCTATTTCACATTTCCGCACCTTTGCTCTTTTCTCTACCTGAAACATTATGCCCCATCCACCATTACCACAGGAGGAATAGGTGTTCCTCCTTCGTATTTGTTTTCTTTCTTCCTACAATGTACTGAAGTAATCAGATTAAACATCTCTTCCCAGAGCCTATTTCAGGAACCTCAAAGGCAAAGACTTTGCTTGATCCATTTCTGTAATACCCGGCACATAATTTATTGTCTTGGTAGGCACATAGTGTTATTTAAAGAAATTAAATCAATACACAAGCAGATTTTAAAATACCTGTGAGCCTTTAAGAAATCAAATTCTTTTAAAATTCCAAATTCAGTGTCCTTGTAAAGATAACACTCACCATCAGTGATGGCTTCTCCTTTCAGACTCTTGAGTCCTCTGGGCATTGCGCTTCCATCAAGGTAGAACTCAATTATGCCATCATCCAGGATAATGAGAAGATGAAGCCAAATATTCTCTTCTACATATTTCAGGGCTGTTGTCTTGGCAACATAGGTAGCATTGGATCCCAAAGTTTTGTAATGAAGGGAAAGTGTCACATGGGATTCGTTGGTTTGAATTTTTACCCCATAGTAGATGCTTCCATTACCATCATCCTTTGCTATAACAAACCCATTAGTATTGGCATTGGGCATTACCCAAGCTGAAAAAGTAAAATTGGCAATTGAGTTGTTCCTGGAAGGGTGGTATTTTTGATTAACAGTTCCAAATGCACCCTCTTGTCCACTGAAGTACAAAGCATCTGTCCCGCTATGGTGACGCCTCAGGTGTGGCTGTAAATGCACAGTGCTGGGGAAAAGTCCAACCAGCAGAAGATCTATCATTGGCGGCAAACCAGCAGGGAACTCACTGGACAGGATTTCCCAGCCTACACGTACATCACCAAAGACGCCCTGTTGCCTCAAAATGGTAAAGTTGGTGATATAAGACATATCGTCTTCTGAGAGAACATCTTCTGCTACTTCTCTCTCTAAGCACTCCGGATCCAAGATAAAAACTCCAAAGGGATCATCATTGAATGGAATCATAACTGTTACCTGGAGGTTGGTTCCTGCTAGTTGACCCCCAGGACCTGGGGACCCACCTATAATAAGAAAATTTGTAATGAATGAGAAACCAGAATTTAAAATACTGTCTAGTTGAAGGTGAAGACAATAGATTTTTTCAGCAAATTTTCAGTTAAATAATTTACTCATTCATCAATAACCATATGGCTTTTACCACATTTTCAGGGGTGAAAGCAAAATTTCATTAAAAATCAGTGCAGCCTGGAAAAAAGAATATTAACTATAGAAGTTTAATTCCTGTGCTTAAAACCAACAGTGATAGGAAAATTGATTGTTTAAAAAATGAGCAATCTTTAAGCTATCATGAATTCGTTCTTCCTAATTTCCATTAATTTTTTGTTGGAGACACTATATTTGGGTAGGGAAAAAATCTGTTTACAAGTTTGAGGATCAATGTAAGTCTCCATCCATAAAATTTAACCAAGACCACAAAATAAACATTAAAAATAACACTTCTATCAAAAATGGTATTTTGACCTATAAAGTCAGACAATCTAGATATACTTATTTCTTCATTGATGGCATTTTTTCTACAGGTCTAATTATTTAAATGTAAAATATTAAACTTTACTGGCAAAAGAAGAGAGATGGGAAAACACAGCACCTGAAATATTTACTAGCTTTAAAGTATAAAACTCATTGAATTCAGGAATGTTATCTGGAAAAGCATGGAGGATGATTGGTTTGGCTCCTTCTCCATCCGTGAAGTTTACAGTCCCTGAAGTTTCATAGAACTCTTGTCCAGGCTGCAAAGCAGAATCATTCTGAAACAGCTGCCAAGCCACAGAAACATTGCCAAAGTGTCCTCGCTGCCGCACAACCCTGCATAACAAGTTAAAGAGAATTCATTTTTATGGAAAATGTATAAGTAATGAAACTAACTCCAATGGAGGCTTGCTGTATTTCCTCAGAAACATACTTTTTCCATTTATCATCTTTAATATAAAGCAGCCAGACAGTCCTAACTGAGCAACCGTGAGGAATCTCATGGAAGAATGAAATAGAGCTTAATAAAGAGAACCAATCCTTTTTTTCTTTTTTCATCCTCACCTGAGGATATTTTTCTATTAGTTTTTAGAGAGAGTGGAAGAGAGAGAGGGAAACACAGAGAGAAATTTTGATGTGAGAGAAACACATCAATTCGTTGCCTCCTGCATGAGCCCCAACCAGGGCCTGAGTCAGGGAAAAGCCTAAAACTGAGGTATGTGCCCTGGACCAGAATCTAACCCAAGACCCTTTGGTCCACAAGCCGGAGCTCTAGCCACTCAGCAAAACTGGCTAGGACAAGAGAAGCAATCTTAAAAGTCATAGTCTTCCAAGTCCAAACTAAAAGATAAATTCTAAGCCCAAAAAACTTTCTATGAGAACTGGCAAATGTTCTTCAAAAGCCAAGTACAGGATGAGGAAGTCACATGTCATTTGAGAGCAGTTCCAGAAAACTTTGAATATTCATCTCTCAGTCTTGACAAAGGATGGAAGTTGGGGTGAGGAGCGTCGGGAAAATAATTTCTACTCACCAGCTAAGGTGTCATTTTGTGTGTGTTTTTTAAACAAGTGACAACAGCATAAAAAATGTTTACAATTCATTCAGACTACCAACTTTAAAATTACTCAATTCTTAACCGGTATTTTCATTTTGAAAGATTAGTACTTCAAAAGATTTTATTTTATTGTACACAATTTTGAATTTGCCTTATCCAAATATGCTTACCAAAATGAATTAGTCTTTCCTTCTTCTACTGCTTTGTCTATGGGCTCCAAAGAAAAAATACCATTTGGGTCATCATTAGCTTCAATTATCACTGTAGCTATTCCATGTTGATATACTACTGTATCACCTAAATTAAAAACAGAAAAGTTAAAATAACAAAAAGTAGTTAACTTCCTGTTAAATTTGTATTTTTAACTAAGAAATACTTTATAATTAAATTCAAATTTCAGCAAGAATTTCCTCATTAAAGGTCATAAATAAATGAGAGAAAGATGCCTAAATAAGTTTAATGTGACTTGTCTTTGAGGAAATGTATAATTGCAGAAGAGCTACTTTATTTTTAAAAGTACGAAAACTTTCCTTCACAATAGGAATATCACTTCAATACTTTAATTAGAAATAAAAAACATAGCTTGATCTAATTTCAAACTTTTGAGATAGATGTTTTCCATTTAATAAAAAATGAAAGAATTACCACACAATATAAAAATCCTCCTGTCCATATTAACTGGAATCACTGGCTTGAGCATTTCCCTGTAATTCTCTGCCTTCAGGCAGTGGAGTTTGATCTGGTCATAGAACAAAGAAATCTTTATGGTGCTGAACTTGAGTCCTATTTCATTTCTTTCCATTATTGCCAATATTTGAGGTCTCTACTCACTTTCCTGAGTTACATCCTGAGTTACATAGCTCTTCGTGGGGGCTCAATCCCCAGTGGGGCATACAGGAAGCAGCTGATCAATGATTCTCATCATTGATGTTTCTATCTCTATTTCCCTCTCCCTCTCTGAAATCAATAAAAATGTATTTCGCCCTAGCTGGTTTAGCTCACTGGATAGAGCATCAGACTCCAGACTGAAGGGTCCCAGATTCAATTCCAGTCAAGTGCACATGCCCAGGTTGTAGGCTCAGGAGGGAACTGGTCAGTGATTCTCTCACCATTGATGTTTCTATCTTTCCCTCTCCCTTCCTCTCTGAATCAATAATCCTATATAATAAAAGCCTAATATGCTGAGTGTCTGGTTGTCCAACCAATCAAAGTGTAATATGTTAATGATATGCTAAGGCCGCTCAACCGTTCACTAGGACATGCACTGACCACTAGGGGGCAGACAGTTGACCGGTAGACCAGTTGCTATGACGTGCACTGACCACCAGGGGACAGACGCTCTGACCAATAGGTGAGCTTGCTGCTGGGGTCCAGGCTGATTGGGACTGTGAGAGGTGGGCCGGGCATGCTCTGCAACCCTCCCATGGTCCCTCTCCGGCTGGCCAACATCCCGCGTCCCTCCCCAGCCCTGATCATGCACTAGTGGGGTCCCTCAGCCTCGCCTGTGCCCTTTTGCAACCCAGGATCCCTCGGGAGATGTCGGAGAGCCAGTTTTGGCTTGATCCCACAGGCCAGGCTGAGGGACCCCACTGGTGCATGAATTTGTGCAACTGGGCCTCTAGTTATATCATAAAATCTAACAAAAACATCTAAAAATAATAAAACCTAATTCTGGCAGAACTCTGCTAGCATATGCATTTGTCATCAACATACATATCATAAGTAGGGCTAAAAACTCATTCTGTTTCTCCACAGAGAGAACTGAAAATATTTAACCAGGGCTCTAGGGATGGCCAAGTCCTTTGATCAATTCAATCTCAGGGCATCTACTGTGAATGGTAACTATCAGGCATGAACTCCCACTGCCAGCACTAGGTCACATTAGAGATGCTGCCCCTCCAGCTCACATCATTGATCTCCTCAGACCCTCAATGTTTTGACATTACAGAAGGAGAGAAAAGAAGAGAACTAAGAAATATAAAAAGCACAAATTTGTATAATCCAAGTCTTCAAAGCTAGAGCTATTCGATTCTCAGATGTGATCATTTCTGGAAAAATACTGAAGACAAATGCAGTGGCAGTATACATGCCATACCTTCATACCTCAGGCCAGTGGCCCAATCACACCTTGTGCGTGTTCATTCATTCACTCTCTCTCAAATAAAAAACACATCTTACAGAATAAACTTACTCTATTAAAACAGTCATTTCTTCATCAACTTTCTATACCTCACAACAAACTTTTTTTTTCACTTTCAGTTCTCCAAAACAATTTTATCTGGAGCTATTTCTTTCATTTAAATTTTAGGATAATGATTGGATTCACCAAAATGTTTCCGGTTTACATAAGATCTGATTATGTTTGCAACTGTGAAATACCTTTTGTGGCCATTATTCTATGAAGTCAAAAATTTTTCTCACTAGAGGATAGCTTCTACTTATTACTTTGTTTTTTCTTAGTTGGGTCATGTGAAAAATGAGAAAGAGAGGAAGGGAAATACGATGAAAGACACAAATGGAGAAGGGAGACAAAGAGACAGGGAGAATGCTAGAGAAGAAACACAGCACCAACAAAAAATTAAGTGACTTCTTTCTCTTCCTCTTTCACTCTTTGGAATGTTTCAGTCTTTTTTGGAATGTTTCAGTCCAAAAGCACACGCAGGCAATCACACTGGGGTGAGGGTAGGACACCAGTGATCAGCCCCAGGTGTCACTTATGCAGGGTGAGGAGAGCATTTCATGATAGAAAAGCTTGCTATCGGATGGTGGGGTCTGTGAAGTAGGTGGGCATCCACATGGGGCAGGGGGTTAGCCTAGAGCAGGAAGCTTGAACCCTAGTGAGATAAGAAAGGCAATCTCATTGTGGAAAGCGGGTCGAAGGAACAGTTGGAAAGTGGACACATACAGGGAGAATTGATCAAATTAGTAAATAGACTAAAGATAATGGGAGCAGGCTTTCTCACTATAAAAAAAGGGAGGGACAGATATGGAAAGGGAGAAAACTGGAATGAACCCTGTGATATTAGATAGAAAGGGAGATACTGGTGTAAACTAATGGTTTTCACTATACATAGTTGGACATAGAACTAGAGATGGGAGTTGTATGTATATGTAGAAACATGCATACATACATATACTCTCTGCACACTAAGAGAACTAAAAGGATCATAACCACAATAACAATTAGCACTCCTAGTGCCAGATCCTGGTTTCTAAATAACACTCTTCACTAAAAGGAACCAGGGCTTCCTGGAGAAATGGTTGATTCAGGGTTGTGACAGGAAAAGTACAAGATGAGTTTGGAACCTCTTGCTGGACCAGAAAGTAAGAAAATGTTCAAATAATAACAGGGACATATCAAAAAGACAAAGAAGTCATCGTGAACAAGACACCAATGGCCAAATCTAGGACAATTTAACTGCCCAAACAAATAATGATGCAAAACAAAACCCAATGTATTAAATAGAAATCATGAGTCCATACTGATAACTATATCAATAAGATAATTGAAAGTCTGATGAGTAACAAGAGACTTGCATATTTTAAAGTATCTTCCTCATAAAATTTACTAACTACAAAGAGGAAAAAGTAGAGTGGACAAGGCAGGCAGTTACCATCTAAATTGTGGTCAAAGTGAACATCAGATAAAGGGACAAAATAAAACCATGTGCCAACTGCAGGGACATGATACGAGCTCAGAATCACCTTCCACGAAATTCCTGCCAAGGATGCAAAACCTGAATCTAATAATGATGAAACATTTAACAAGACCCAAAATGAGGAACCGTCCACAAAATAACTAGTCTTATAATCTTCCATATCCTAAAGGTCATGGAAGTCAAGGAAAGACTGAGGAACTGCTCCAAACTGAAGAGGTTAAAGAGACATGACAATGAAAAGCAATACATGATTCAGGAAATGATCATTTTGCTAGGAAGAAGAAAAATGGCACAACTGGAGAAATCTGAATGGGGCCTGAGGCAATGATCCTATTAATATTAAGTTCCTGGGTTTAATGGTTATACTGTGGTTATGTAGGAGAATGTCCTTATTTGTAGGAAAACACCAATGTTTTCATGGGTGATGAAATATCATGTCTTCAACTTACTCTCAAAAGGCTCAGGGAAAAAGAGCTCTTTGTAGTCCTAAAAGACTAAAATAAATATTAAAAAGGGTATAGCCCCTCCAATTTACTAAAGGTGAGGTCAAAACCTTCTAAGAGATGAAATATTGGGGTCAAAAAATCCTACTTCATTTACAGTAGAAAGAAGAATGAAGAGCCTACTTTTCGCCCTTGCAAATTGCCATTCATTGTAGCTAATAGCTTCAGAGAATTGTCAAACAGCCAGTTGGGCTCAGCCACCTACAGAATACATCTTCCCAACCAGTAAGCCCAGCACCCTGCTAGGAGAGCAAGTGGTTACAGAACTCTTGGTGTCCTATGCCCTTGGGTGTCTAGACGAGGTTTAGCATAGCTTTAGCTAGATTTTTATTCCTTACATAATAGCATAATTTTTTATGTGTGCTGTATTGTGAAAAAAGGTTACAAATAATGCCACGGACAATGCCAGGCACATGAAGGTTCAATACATATTCTTCACCCCACCCCCACAAGAAAGCAATGAAGCAATTTTGCTCTTGAACAGTCACAGATGCTATTTAAGTACTACTTGGCACCACTACTAGACAGAAGCCCTGAAACAACAGACCTGTCATCAAAGTACAAGTTATTTACCTGTTGAGTTAAAGAGGATTATATAAAAGTGCTCATCCGTTTCTGGGATATCATCTTCGTTAACGAATACAGATATTCTCTGCTCTCTACTTCCAACCTCAAAAACAAGCGTTTCTCCTTTCTCAACAGGAACAAAGTCTCCCTCTCTTGCGGTGGCCTTCCCGTCCATGGTAGCATACTGGACGGTGCAGACAACATCAACAGATCCATTCCTGAGAACTGTAAAGTCAGCAGTCTCACCTTCCTGAACCCTCACTATGCGAGGTTCTGAAATATTCACAAAGAAAAGAAGAAACATATGAGCTTTTAGTATTACATCTATGTTTTCAGGTCATTTATGTTTCTTCGCATCCCCACAAGAAAGTCCCTCCAATGTATCTTTGCTTAAAGACTCACCTCTAGTCCCAAATCCTACATGAGACCTCCTTTGTTTAGATCTAGACAATGGTCTTTCTCTTAACCTAATTCCTACAGAATCAATTGTCTTCAAAACCCAATTTTCGTGAATTAAATACGATCTGAAATCCCCTGCCTACTATTTCATATACCTCATTTCCAAATGTAAACTGTAAGTTCCTTGAGAAAAGGCCCAGATATCTTATATTTTACGTTTGTCTCAGGAGTTAGCAGAAGGTTGGACAAAAGACTAATATATAAAATACATATTAACCAGAGGTTAAGAATATGCATGAATAAAATTGAAGAAGTTTAAAAGATTCCTGCCATTGTAAACTGGATATCTTGCAAGATGGGCTTAAGAAAGAATTAGACACCATTTAATTCTCACAAATAAAACTAAAAGATGTATCATGTGGCAAAAGACAATTCTAAAGAAACCATTAAAGTGGCAAAAATGGAGAAACCTTGATTTATATGACCATTCAATATTAGTTGCTATAGTAAGTTACTAACCATTATGTACAGTACCCAGGCCCTGAACTAGCTACACTGTGGATTGGAAGAAGTTACATGAAAGAATATTCATTTTTGCACAAAGGAAAGAAAATAACTTGGCCGAGGCCGGTTTGGCTCGGTGGATGGAGCGTCGGCTTGCGGACTGGAGGGTCCCAGGTTCGATAAAAAAGAAAATAACTTGGAGTTTGAAGGTGGGGTGAACAAAGCTAACAAAACAGTACTTACTATTTTTTTCCTTCAAAAGATGCTTAAAAATATTTGTTAAAACTGCAAGATCAAATAGTGATCATACAAACAAATAATAAAATTATATTTAAAGAAGTATTAATTGTGCTTTATTAAAAATGTCCAGTTAAAAATAAATGAAAATGAACAAATATACTGTTTAAGAAAGACATACACTCACTCAAAAAAAATGGCAATACCACCTGCAAAATAAATGGGGTCATCATTTCTTCTGATCCTCAGAATTGCAGTAGTCTTATTTCCTATTTTAGCTCCTCCAGTGGCATTAAGTAGGGTAATGGTGAATTCCTCCATTTCCTCTGGAATCTTTTGGAAAATGTCATACATGTTTTAAGTCAGGTGATTTGTACAAATAATTCCACTGTATGTTCCTAAATTATTTTTATCTTTTTAAAAAATATAGCTGTAATAATGATAGTGCTAATGTTCATTTTCATTTCTGAGGCAGAACCACCTTAAATTATTCAAGTAGGACTCAGACCCCTAGAATGTTCATGTGCATTCATCCGAACAGCCACTTTATGTTGACTCTCATAAAATGTACTGTAAATAGATATCTTGCTTTAAGTTAAAAATAAAAATACTACAGTCATACAATTTCTTTAAGAAAGTGGTATATATGTTGCTTATAAGAGAAAATAGAACAGAAAAATAACTCTTTGACATATTTAGAACTGAGTTCATAACAGTAATAGAAGTTCAGCTAACTCTCAAAGGCCACTTACAAATGCTACTGACATTTCACTCCAGTGTGTCATAAAGACCTCATTCCCATGTCCTAACAAGATGAGGTTGCCCACAGCTCTGAGCCTCTATGAATCCCCAGGTGGACACTGTTTCTCTTTCACTTCCTCCATATGAGCTGGTCTTCTTCACATGGCAAGAGTGTTAGCTTTTGTCTCTAATGGGACAAGTTTGAACTAAAGGAGGCAGGCTTCCACAGCTGTTCAAAGCCTAGTTCCCCCTGAAAGGTCCACTCCCACCGTTACTGAGTTCTTCCTCTGCATTATCAATAAAATGAACACCTGGATGGATCCATGATCCTTGTGGGCCTCGACCCTGACTCTGAGAGTGCACCAGGGGATACGTGGTAGGAGGCACACTTGTTTTCAAAGGGTCTAAGAACAATGTTAGCACTTCACCCCTCCCCCAACCGTGACTCCCTGATATTTGACACCTACACAGTGTCACTGGCCACTATCAGTTCTCAGAGTTATAAATGCCTTCAGGAAACCAAAAATAGTATTTCTTATTTGGGTTACAGTCTGACATTATTGTACCTGAGTTCTTTATCAATATATTCACAACAAAATATATTACCAGATGTTTAATTATGTAATAAAACATAATTATTAAGCAATGACAAGTAAAGAGAATTATATACGCAATACTTACCTCATCTGGAAGGGAGTAAATGGTGATATTTTTTAAAAATTCCTGATCTCCAAAGAAAACAGTCCCTTGGACAGGAAATACATCTTCTGTAAAGTCTGGACTAACCACCCATGATATACTAACGTCATCAAAGTTGCCTCGATTTCTTATTATACCATAAACAGCTGTAAAATACAAATGTGTATAATATATGTGAGCATATATTAAACAGTTCTAAAATGATGAATAAAGAAATTGCTCAAATAAGCAAACATAAAAATGAGATGACTTTTAAAAAAAAAAGCCAATTATCTGCTTAGCATAGCCTGCAACATACCTATAAAAATGCCTTAGCCTAATCGTCCCTCTGTAAGCATCTGATAAGATAAATGGATTGATCTTTTCTATCACAGCTTGGATTTTAAAAGTCATTCAGCATCGGAACGGAATAGTGATTAATTAGATACACCTATCGAAAGTCCTATAAGGATATTTGCTAATATATGCAGCTAAAGGAAGCTGCACACTCTAAAGTGATTTCTTTACCCAGAAAGATATTGTTCTAAAAAATAAACTACTTCTCAATTCAGACCATTGCAATAGTCCCCTAGCACAGTGGTCGGCAAACCGCGGCTCGCGAGCCACACGCGGCTCTTTGACCCCGTGGCATGGGCCAGGAAGTTTCAATCGCCCTGTACGTGCGCGCCCACACGTGGTATTTTGTGGAAGAGCCACAGTCAAGGAGCCAGTTTGCCGACCACTGCCCTAGCAGTTACTCTTAGTTTTAAAGTTTTTCCTATATGACTCAACTCATTCTTGAGTGTCTGAATCCTAGCACATATCATTAACTGAAATCAAAATATAACTCAAGGCAACAGTATCATCACAATACTATGCATGAAATACAAAAAGTAATCCTAAATATCATTTTTAAAATACCAATTTTTGCACTCCATGTAATTTCTAAGATAAACAACTGAAAGTAAGTATATACTAAGAAAATGAATTTAAATTATTAATTTCCTCTTCAGTAAACAGTAATCCTACATAATAAAAGCCTAATATGCTACGTGTGCAGTCGTCTGGTTGGCTGTTCAACCAATCAAAGCGTAATATGCTAATGATATGCTAAGGCCTCCCAACCACTAGCTATGACATGCACTGACCACCTGTCTGCCCCCTGTTGACCGGTTGACCAGTCACTATGACGAGCACTGATCACCAGGGGGCAGACGCTCCGACCGGTAGGTTAGCTTGCTGCTGGGGTCCAGCTGATCGAGACTGAGCGAGATTGGCCAGACACGCCCTGGAGCCCTCCCACCATCCCTCCCTGGCTGGCCAAACTCCCGCATCGCACCAGGCCTCTAATAGAATAGAAGAAGCAAAATAAATTACCACTATAGATATCGTCTCCTTTACTTTCATTTATCGTAACAATTAGATCATCAGAAACAAATTCTATAATCCCATGAGGATCATCATTTTTCAGAATCGTTATATTGACCACAGTAGCACTTCCCAACTTGCTTTCCCGTTCACCATGGCTGCTGAGGACCACCCAATAGTGTTCATCCAACTAAAATGAACATGTCAAATTAGGAAAAACACAAATTTGAAGTTTTCAGAGCAAGGAAATATATACATATATATTCAAGAATATTAATATAGTCAATTTTTCAGCAACATATAACTCACTCAATGGTGACAAAAGAGCTGATATTATTCCTTTAAAAAGTTTAGCATAGTATTACATATGTCCCCTCTTTCCTGCCATTGACCCCTTGTAGCCTGCCCCCGCCCCCAATCCAGGCCTTCACCATCCTATTGTCTGTGTCCATGGGTTATGCAAATATGCATGCAAGTTCTTTGGTTGGTCCCTCCCCAACCACCCACCTCTCCCGCCTTCCCTCTGAGATTCGACAGTCTGTTCCATGTTTCTATGTCTCTGGATCTATTTTGTTCATCAGTTTATTTTGTTCATTAGATTCCATACATGAGTGAAATCATGTGATACTTATCTTTCTCTGACTGGCTTATTTCACTTAGCATAATACTCTCCAGGTCTTTATGTAGGACAAACTTACTTCATTGACATTTGAATGCCTTACTTTGTTTTTTAAGCTTGTTTTTTTTCCCCCTTTTCAACCACAAGCATTTCTTAACCCATTCTTGCCCCCTTTCTTTCCTATAGCCTCCTGGTCATTGTTAAAAATATTTCTATTTAATAATATATGTACTAGATACTATCAACTTCCCACAAAAGCACAAGGAAAAAATAAAATCCCATACCTCTGGTATTCCATCCAATCTGCTTAGCAAGGTGATTACGATCTCTCTTTCCCCAGGTTTAAATTCCAGTACCCCTGTGTTTCCATAGAATTCATTGCTATCTCTTGGCTCTACCCTGTAGTGGAGAAACTGCTTAACGAGAGCTCCCCTGGATCGAATGATGCGGAGCTCTACAGATTCTCCTTCCTTAAAAAAACAAAACAACACAAAAATTCAAATCTGTTGACGATTCTTCTGAAAATGTGAGTAGAGAACAGATTGAAGTTTCTTTCAACTTACTTTTATAATATAGGGTCCTCTGGAATCAGGAGAAAATTCAAAAATTCCCCCAGGATCATCATTTTCCAAAATAATCAGATCACGGCTAGTATATCCAGATTTCAGCACTTGATTTTCCACATTGACCCTGGAGAAGTCAGAGGGGAAAAAGGCACTGACGACCTATAATCTTACTTCTGAATTCTGCAGGCTTCTAAGGCAATATTTGCAACACTTTCAGATAATTATTATGGAAGTTATTAGGAGTTTAAACCTTAAATTGATATAAGTGTATTAAAAATCACTTAACAGCAAAACAGCTGTACTCATAGCATTTTTGAAAGAACTTCTGTTTCTGAATTTCTTTACATTAAAACCAAACACTGTATATGTACACCAAGAATATAACACCCAAAGGTTTTAAATATGCTGTAATTTTATAAAGTACCAAATTTACAGATTTGTTTCAGTTTTAGAAAAACTAATTTGTAACATGTACTTAAAAATATATTTAACTAAAATCGTTTTAACTCTACATATACTTGAATTTATTTTAAAAATTCATTACATATGATTACATTAAGTGAATAAAAGTTGAATAAGTGGAAGAAAGCCACATGAATCAAAAATAAACAAAATTGTGATTGGATTTTAGAAATATTTTGTGATCTTTCATATGTTTCTATTCACCTTGATTTTAACCTCATGCATTTTTCTTTTAGCATAAAAAAAACATAGTACATATAAAAAATGGAATTGAATGGATCTCATATGTATGACATATTATAACAATTCCTATACATATCTCAAAAGGGTATATTAAAACAAGATGTTTTTTCTTATTTCTGGTTTTCATGTCCAGTGTATAATTAAAATGATCAAAGGAAGTGGGACAAAAAGGCTCTGAGGGTTTGAAAGCCTGCATGCTCTTTGAGAATTCTCAATCTTGAAAGCTGCTCTAAACCTTTCCAAATGTCACTTTCTATCGAACCAAAACGTAGTCTTGAACAGACCTCAAAATCACAATGAAGCCACAATTAATATGTAGAAAGGATAGCTCACTTCCTATGCAATAGGGAATCTGAATTAGCATCCTTCCCTAGCTTTTGGAAACCTGACAACCAATAACTAGCATACTATAGTGGCTACAGAAGGGATTAGTCAAAATAATAGGAAAGTTATTTGTTAATTGTTCATGGAGTCATGTAATTTTCATAGCAAATTTACCCATATTTCATTCACATCAATATTTTTATTAATTAAAAATTCTTCTGTCCACATAAGCTAGGAGACAGTATAACTGAATCAGAATATAATAATCAGATCACAGCTAGTATATCCAGTCTAAAAATCCATTTGAAGCATTAAGCAAATAATTTGTTTTAACTTTCTTAAAATATGCTTACCCGAACATAGAAAGGCAAATTTTTTTAAAAAAAATGTAGGCAGAAATTGTTTGGGTACAAATCAATGGAAGAAATGAGAGTTTTTATTACAAATTCTCTTTTAAACAAACTATAAGATTTACAACAATTTTAGGTAAGAATTTCACAGAGCACAATAATTTTTCCCTATACTGTGTGTAAACTATAAGGAAAATTAAAGTTTTAAGTTCTTCCTAATACGTAAATACACTAATTCTCAAACTTTTTACCAGGCACCTTAAATGCATCCATAATTTAAAATTCAAGGGAACAAATGACTTCATTAACTCCCCTTTTCATTAAAAAATAAAAGTACACACAACGCATGCACAGGCAAGTAGACAAGCAGCATTTCTCAAGACCTGTGCTCATGCAGAACAGCAGCTGTATCCACAACAATGGCTTGCAAAGCAAAATGTTGAATCACCAAAAGCCAGGCGTTCTGTTGCACACTTACCCAAAATACACGACAAACCTTTCAGTTTCTACTCTGTCAACACAAAAAGAAGCGTGGGGAGGGGAAATAAGAAACAGGCACCATTTGCCGAAGTCTCACTGATACAGAAACTTAGAGTGGCAAGGTAAGAATTAATTGCCCCCTGGGAGCTAGTAATGTCCACTTTATGGGGACTCTGCACACTGGGTTCTTTGCTCTTGACAAATGCTAGCAAAGGGTTCGGCAGTTCCCACTTAGGGAACATGACCCCATGACCAGCCATAGCATGGAGGACATTCCTTCCCAGGCCTGCTCCCAGGCGCTGGGGCCTGCCAAGCACTGTGCGTGCTTACAAACCGCAGCAGCTGAACAACTTTCATTCAGCCAGGCCTATAATTACTTAGTAGCTTTAATTAGTTTTTTGGGGGGGAAAACCCTCCATCCTCAGATCTAAAGCCAGTTTAGCTTTGAAAAAATAAAAAACTCTATAAGCAGAGAAAAATATACCTCTCATTTGCACAGGAATATACTCAAGGCGCCGTATCATTATATCATTTCATTATGACATCTATTTACTCAAATATAACTTTATATCAAGAAAGCGAAGCACTTTTTCAGATCCTCAATGAAGTGCATTTTCAAAACAGCACTGGAAAACACATGTCAAAATATAGAGACCTCTGGCTTCACTTTTAAAGTGAAATGACACTATAAATAAAAGATTATATAGCACATGTATCAAAATTTTAAAAAATAAATTGGAATAATAAAATTGTTAATTTGGGGAAAACTAAACAATAAAATATTTTAACTGTTATGGTATTAAAATCTTTATAATTTGTTTAATACCAGGGCAACTTTTACCTAAATTTGACATTAAAAGAAAACTATAAACTGTAAACACAATAGAGTGTTATTTTTCGTTGCAATATTATATTGTAACTTCTTTTAATCACATATACTAGGATTCATTCATTCTTTCATTTTAGTTTTATTAAAAATTTGCAAGCCTCAAATGAAAGATTTGATAAAATTATTTCAGGTAGCAGATTTTATTCTCACATTTATTTAACTAAATATAAATATGTCTTTGAACATTCAAATGTAATTAGCTCATTCATGTTCATGCATAGAGATAATACAAGTATGCATTAGTTACTAATTGAATTAAAACATTTTAGTATAATTTTGAACTAGTATCATCTATTTCAAAAGAAACCAATGACCTGAAATTCTCTACATCACTATTTGTATTTCATTGTGAACTGTTTTTTACCAATAGGAAAGAAAGAGGAAAACCAACTTAAAATTATATTTAATTAATTTCAATGGTTTACATGATAAGGTTAAAAATTACTATTCTGAAAGAATATGAAGAACAGTTACAATGACCTTGCAGAGGTAAAATTTAAATTCTTCTTCAAACATTTAGTTCAGAGCAGAAACTCTCAGCTACATGTTTGGTTTATAATTACTATTCATTTTGCTTTAGTTTTTTTAAGATTTTCCACTGATTTCGTAGGTACTTGAAACTAGCTTAAAGAAAAAATATATATAAGTGAAAAAAATGATAATTTTCAGTTTACATTTTACTACATTTAATTGATTTTTTTATCATATGAAATTTTTTAAGGTTTAATGTAAAATACATATTGTAACCATTAAGTCACTTGGACAGTGTGAATGTGTTGTTTTTATTTTTTTGCTTTTTTTGTCCGCTTGTTTCGTTGTTGTGGTTTTGTTTTATCTTAAATATGAAAAAGAAAGTAAGCATAATGTGGTTCTGAAAGCAAACCAACTGAACAGTGGATATTCAATAAAGTTCCCTACATTCTGTATTTTCTTTCTCATAAAAACACAATAACTCATCAGGTTTATGAAATGTGTTTATGAAAACACCTTCAGAGAAAAACCTACAAGAGTGTCATAGTAAAATATAGAAAGCAACAGGGGTCACATAAAAGAATTCCTACTCTAGTCCTGACTAATATAGTACAAAATAATGCCTATTAAATCTATCTATAAATTTTACTGTTTTAAAATATGAATTTATCAAAACCCCCAAGTAACATTAACTTTAATATGTTAACATCTTTAACATAAAGAGAACTATAGTAATAAGTTTCATTTTGATTTTTTTTTAAATAACATCAATTAAATAGTGTTTTTTTCACTTTTGGAAAGGTTTTCTGAATTACTGAAAAAAAAAAGACTGATGACTGTGATGTTTTCTTAATATAAATGACCCACTGAAAAATGTTAATTAAATCCTTATTATTACTGAAAATAACTCTTAAATTTGTATTATTTTGATTCTCTGGAATATAAGCATTACTTAATGTTTAAATTCCATGAAAAAAAAGAATTTTATTATATGAAGATTAACAGTTTCTTTGAAGTCACTCAAAGGAGCTCTAATCCTCTCCCCTGTTGAAAATGAAGCTAGCAAAACAGTTTGCTTAATCTAATATTTTAGATTTGCTGCTGCCTATATTTTTTAGTATAGCAACATATTAGCTATGCTTAAGATTTATTTGAAACCAGCTATAAGTTCTCTATCAAATCTTTCCTCACAATGAATAGCAGGGTAAAAGTTCATGATGTCAAAATATTTACAGTCTAACCAGAAGCCATCAATAACCAAGGGAATAGTTAGGGGCCCAGCATATTATCTCTTAGTTTTTTCTTTTTACTTTATAAGGAGAGAAGAATTGAAGCAAAAAACAAAATTATTTCTGAAAATTCGAATATATAAATGTTACTGAGCGTTACCTAAATGGTTATTACCTGTCTAGAGAAAGTGTTACTGTCTCATTCATTTCCGGTATGTCATCAGCTTTGACAGTAATGTTGATTGTTGTGTCACTTTGGCCAGATAAAAATACAACAGAGCCATTAAAGGGACCTATATCGTCCAGGGTCACTGCTTTTGAATTAGAGCCAGAGGGCTTCAAACTCCAATAGACAGTAGCCTGGCCATCAGTTCCATCCCGATGTAAGGGAATGTATACCTTACATAGAAAAAACAAAAAAGAACAATTTCTTATATACTCACATACTATCTATGCTTTTCAGTGATTGAGTTCACATGTTATTACATGAATATATGTATTCTTTATAGAAAAGTAAACTGTTAAAGGGCATTAAAAACATTTGCACAAGACTTTTCCTTAAGCTTGGAAATAATTTTAGATAGAACTATATTTATTAGTTTTTGTTAATCAAATTACTAACAAAATTGCCCCCACCAAAAAAGATGCCTAACCAGGGATGTCTTAACAAAAAGACTTAAATATTTTAAAAGACAGGATGATGAAAAAACATAGAACAATTTGACTAAAAAGTAAATTTTAATCTGAGGTTCTCTAAAAAATGAAATTAATCTAATGTCACAATATAAACAAAAATAAACCTTTGTGAGATTACAATGAGAAAATTATGTTTCATAAAATACACCCTAAAATGATAGGTGGCAACATAAGAAAATAATGTAAGTAACAATAAGAAATGTTTCTAACCAATATAATAAATGCAGTTCAAACAAAATCAGATATTCAAATCATGGCTCTGGGTTACCTTGGGCAAGTTACTTAACCTCTCTGATCTCAATTTCCACATGTGAAATGAAGTTAGTGATTCCCTGTTTTGCAAGTTTGTGGTGAAGATTACAGTACATCTCCACAGTATGAACAAAATAAATAAAAGCTATTATAATAGTTCTGAAACAAATTGGTAATTTTACTTAAGTGTAGTACACATTAAATATATAATAAAAGGACACCATAGATCATGTTTTTCAAACAAAGAATATAAATGATTCCTTAATTGTAGACACGTTATTCTGTTTAAACTCCTAAATAAGGTATCCTCTTTGCTCTTTGCCCTTCAACACAGTCCATCTTTCAAAAAAATTAAAATTAAAAAGAAGACATTTTCCTCACTAACCATTCTGTGAATTTGGCTGGAAATGGTCAGGGCTGGAGACAAAAGCTCAAAGATTCTTAGGGAAGACAGAAAATGTAACAGAGGCTTGTACCCTTAAATGACCAGAGGGGGTGGGCTAGTCCAGGCTGTAGATGGGACAAGGAGAAACTCCCACTTTCTCTGCAGTTTCCCAGGAGGGAAAGGATGAAAGTTCATGGAGCCCAAAACTTTTCTCCAAAAAGCTAATTCCCAAGGGAAGTACGTAAAATGGTAAATTTATAGCTTTATAAGATACATGAATAAAATGAATCCACACTTTAAGAAAAAGCTAAATCCTTTTTAGTAGGTTTCCTTTTTTAGAAGATAGCAGTATATTAAGAATAATAATAAAAAATAAAAACTATCTTGAAAAATGGAGCTCCTTTGCCAATATATAGAATCAAATACCTAAACAAAGGAAGTTGTGACCACCATATTTTGACATGAGGCTTTGATATCGTAAATTGCTCTCCTCATTCCTGATCTGAACCTCAACCCAATTTAAATCATATGCAAGTGTCCAAGACCTGGAAGGGTCAATGTAATATGGTTCAGGGAATGGCAGAACTGAAGGTCACTAGTGGGAAAATTCAACCAGGGTAGGGGCAGAGGGAGGGATGCTGTATCTGTGAGCATGCTTTTGTGTGGCGTGGGGTATGGGAGTAACCAATAATTTGCCCACATATATAATACAAAATTCCTGAGATTAGGCATTCCACAATTTTACCACCATCACCTCCACTACCAAGCATAGTACCCCAGTCCTGCCCCAGGCAGGCATGATTAGCTTTCAGAAATGAATGAGTGAAATGCACCTGTGGTATATACCACTTCTAGAGGGCTGGTGCACAAAATTCGTACACAGAGAGAGGGGGGTGTCCCTCAGCCTGCCTGCGCCCTCTCGCAATGTGGGACCCCTCACTCCTAACCGCCTGCCTGCTTGCTCCTTACCGCTTGGTTTGCTGCTCCTTACCACCCGCCTGCTCGCATCTTATCGTTTGGCTCACCGCTTGGCTGCCCCAGACACAGGAGAGGCTCCCGCCACTGCTGCTGCACTCATCAGCCATGAGCCCAGCTTCTGGCTGAGCGGCGCTCCTACTGTGGGAGCACACTGATCACCAAGGGGCATCTCCTGCGTTGAGCATCTGCCCCCTGGTGGTCAGTGCGTGTCATAGCGACTGGTCATTATGGTTGTTCCACTGTAACAGTCATTGGGCTTTTATATATGTAGATGTTTTAGCTATCACTCTATCACATGTCATAGCATTATCCAAAAGCAGCCACATCAAAAAAATACTGCTTTTGCTGTGAGCAAATAAAATCTAATTTTATTTTATCAAATATGAAAAAAGATTATGGAAAATCACACATTCATCAGTTACTTATTTCAAACTACATACTGAAGCTGGCTGTAAATGGTGAAGCTTTTCACTACCTATTAACTGTATATGCTAACCCTCAAAAAAATTAGTGTCTGTACAATATCTCAAACTCAGTAGGCCCCACTGATAAGAGAAAGCCTACTTACCACTTCAGCAGGGGAATCTTCTGGTTCATGCAAAATGATCGGAAGGTTGCTAATAAAGCCAATTTCTCCATTTGCAATATCTGGAGTAACCGCTAAAGATATATTGCGGATTTTCCCAAATCTAGGACTGATAGGTGGAATTGGGGGGTTTATGTTCACCAACTCCACAGTTTCCAACTATAATAAACAAAACAAAAAAAGAACAAAAATTTTAAAATAAAAAAGTCTTAATTGCATGGGGTAACAAAGTAAACATGGATAAAGGCTACCCATAACTTAGCAACTTCATTCTCTTTCTTCTTCCCTCTCCATCCTGTTTCAATCTCCTGCACTGGCTTCTTAAGCTCCTTCTGCACCTCAGCTATTATTATTTCCTAGAGTTTTTTCTAAGCCCTTTATCTTATAATTTTATACCCTCTTTCTAATAATCTCTAGATATCTCCTGCAAGTGTCAAAAAGTTTATAAACCACCGCTATTAGATATAACATAAATGTCACATTGAAACTTTGCAGATAAAATATCAAAAATTGAAATCACTATTTCTGTTTCATGTCCCCTCACCACTACCACCACCAGCACCACCATCTACTCTTCTTCCTTGTTACCTATACCCAGCCATCTTGACCTTAAAGCCAAATGTCAGAGAGTTGTCCACATCTCTTTCCTCTCTTCCACTGGTCCACAGCTCTACTCAATCCCCCAAACCCCTTCTCTGCCAGAGAATACACAACCACTGAAACTCCAAATGTGACTTAGTATGCCTTTACATTTAAAGAAATGCAACACCTGTAAAACATGGAGTGTCCCCGTAATTAATGAACATGACCACCAGAGTAGCTTTGATGGAGCTCTCCTCTTCAGAATAGCCTCCCTGCATCATTTCACAAGTCCAAAGTGTACCTGCTCTTAAAGACCAATTACATTTCCCTCTCTTCCATGAAGATTTCCTTGGATCTTCTAGCCCTTTCTGTTCTATTTGTTTTGGAACTTCTATTGTTATTGTCACTAAACTTAGACTTAATTATAAATTTCACACATTGCTTGCTTATGATCATTATGTGTGTTACAGACTTTCACTTCCCAACAGGATTATAGAGTTCTTGTGAGTTTGTGTCCTTCTCAGTATTTTCCCAATACTTGACATAGATCTCAAACTGCAGTAGCTACACGAGAAATCTTTGATTCATCTCTCCAACATAAACTGAGCTCTGTAGGAATCCTGATCTATCACAAATTTTCAACATTTAACATTCTAACTTTTCAAAATCTAACTTATCAATGTTCACAGTATTCACTAAAATGTAAAAATAATCATTAAAAAGCATAGCAATTTTAAGATAAAAAGCAGTTTTGAACTTAACAAAACATTATGGGTCTCTCACTCGAGAGCTCTCTATTAGGCTTTGTAATGTGGTAACAGCTGTAATTTAAGTGGGTTTTCCACAAGTGGACTGAACTGGTACTGATCCCTCATATACTCTTAAATTTTTTTAATGAACATTATATATTTTAAAGGGCAAAATACATGCCTTTTAAAAAATGTCACACACTTTGCCTTGAAAATCATATGTAGGAGAAAGATATTAAAAATTCCATATTTGGTAAACATACATTTGAGTCAATGAAAAAAGAAGTTAGATTGACAAATTTTGCCAAATATTAGTATATAAACTGAGTCAAGTAAAATAAAATGTGTGATTCTTAGTATATTGAATTTACCTTATAAAATAAATAAAATATAAAGGTAAATAGCTAAAACCACACAAGTATAACTGTTATTCTTTCTAGAGAAAAGGAATATCTATATACCCATACACATATATATATATATTTATCTTTAAAAATAGCACAAAGAATAAAATATGTATATTTGAATGGCATAAAATATAAAGTATGCATTGTTTAGAGGCAGGCAAAGATGTTGGTAAAATACACTGGTCATATGTAAACACATGTGTGTGAACGAACATTCTCATTCCCATGTATTCACAAAGCTCTAAACTGGTAATACTGTTTAAAACATGAAGGGGAAAAAACTCAATATAATTTTACTTTAAAACTTTCTAAAAAGAAAAAAAAATAAGTCATATTTATATTTATCAAAAGTTAAAGAATTCTAAGTACCATATTTTGAAAATTTTAAAGAAAGAAAGTATAGAAGGATATAAAGTGAACTGATTAAAAAGAAAATGCTAATTTTACATAGCTTATTTCCTGGTCTCTAAGCCTTTTTGTCTGGGTTCCTTAAGCATCTGCTAAATCAAACTGTTCCATTCATACTGAGTTGTTCTTTGCTTTCAGACAGTTTGCAACTGGGGCGGCACATTAGTAGCCCCAAGCTTGCCAAAAGTTGTATCGCAGACTGATGTATGTAGCTGAGAGGATCACTGAAGAATGAGGAGCTCATGTCTCAGATTCTCCTTTCTTCAGTTTCATTCAACTTTCCATGCAGAGTCTGATGCCTCCTATTCTTGAGTTGCTCATCCATTATGCACTATACAAACTACACAACCTTCTCATTCCAACCAGCCTTCCAGGACCTACAGCTATTTTGAACCTCAAGAAACTGTGTCAGTGACTAATAATGCCCTTTTCCCCTACAGTGTTAAAATGTCTGCACAGTGAGAGCTTTGTTTTTTAACTGAATATGCAAACAGATAAAGAACTGAATTCAGAATTAGTGGTGCAAACAGATTTCCAACATGGGATCACCAAAAATTCAGACTTTACATGATTCTTCAAGTGTTACCTTTTCAAGTGTCACCAAAAACAAATTGTCATGTTCATGTAGAATGTTGAAACATAAACTAGCTAGGATAATATCTGACCCTATCTAAGTTGCTTAATAAGGTTTTGTTTACTTAAGGATTCTCTGCAGCTACTTGGCTAGAGATATTGAAAGACATTTTTTAAAAAACTAAAAATTTAATATAAAGGCTACTAATATTATCATCCATAGTAAAAAGTGGTTGAGGCAGCATAAGAAATCAGAAAACTAGACTGGGAACAGAAAAGTCCTCTACAAATCAAAATCAACATTTCTGCATTATCAGTCTTCAAACTCCTGTCTCGTTACTGCAGCCACTGTAGGTATGCCAGGATGCCCAGGCCTCCATGGAGCAAAAAGCAACTGTGTAAAATCTTTGCTTCATTTCACTTATTTTAATAAGTTGGTTCTCATATGAGTTGTGACCTATGTAAAACTGGAGAGACAGAAGGGAGAACTGAATGCTGAGATAATGGAAAGACAAAAACCTTAAACATATGCTACGAATTAAATGTTTATGTCCCCCCAGAATTCATATGTTGAAACCCTAATCCCAAATAATGATGGTTTTTGGAGATGGGACCTTTGGGAGATAGAGCCTTTGTGATGAAATTAGTGCCCTTATAAGAAGAGATAGCGCCCTAACGGGTTTGGCTCAGTGGATAGAGCATCGGCCTTCAGACTCAAGGGTCCCAGGTTCGATTCTGGTCAAGGGCATATACCTTGGTTGCGGGCACATCCCCAGTAGGGGGTGTGCAAGAGGCAGCTGATCGATGTTTCTCTCTCATCGATGTTTCTAACTCTCCCTCTCCCTTCCCCTCTGTAAAGAAATCAATAAAACATATATTTTTTTAAAAAAAAAAAAGAAGAAGAGATAGCAAAGAGCTTGCTTCTTCTGGCTCTCCACTACGTGAAAACACACCAAGAAGACAGCAGTCTCCAAACCAGGAGGCCGGCCTCACCAGAACCCCTCCAAACCAGGACACCGGCCTCCAGGACTGTGAGAAATGAATGTCTATCGTTGAAGCCACCAGGCTATGGTATTCTTTGTGGCAGTCTCAACTGACTGAGACAATGCACACTAATGAGAATGCTCTGAGTCGAGAAAACAAGGTAGAGAGTGCTCACACCAAAAATAAAACAAAAGACAAACACCTCCATTCAATTCTGAAATTCCACTTGACAAGTTATTGTCTCCCAAAGGTTCTTGGAAATCGCTAAGTTTGGAAATGCCGCCCCAAGGGAAATCTGGTGAAATGAGTATGCATTTCCATATACTAATAAAACCAACTTTAAAGTTAGTATAAAGCCAAACATAAAGGTCTTTTTAAAATCTCTAAACACATCTTCATATGTGTTCTGCTGGCAGCGTTCTAGTTGCTTTAACTTCCTGCCAGGGTATGGGCTTGACCGCTTGCTTAATTCCACTTCACAGACCCAGATCACCCCGCCCCCAGCCAGCTCACAAGAGCATTCGACAGGACGCAGGGGAAACAAACAATTGTAAATGATTCCCTGCTCTGTTCACCCATCTCTCCAAAAAGCGAAAGGCAAGGGTCCTCCAAAGAGTGGGTTATCCTCATAGACAAAAATATGCAGCATATCAGAATTTCCTCATTTTGAGGAGACAATAAAATAATAATAACAGTAATAATAAAAATAAAGATGATAAACAGGATGTCCTGCCACTAGTAACAAAGCTTTGGGAACACTGGAAAATCATCTCTCTCTGAGTGGGCATATTATAAAAAGGCGTCCCCTACCAATTATATATCCCTGTAGCAGGTCACCCACTAGACCCCTTCACCAGGAATTGTCAAGAAATTCAGAAAGAGTATAAGCATGAGTGGTGGCCCAGATTAAAAAAAAAAAAGACAAGAGTCTTCAGAATGAAAGTGCATGGCAAGGACCTGTGAAATTTAGAATACCAAGAGGATGAAAAAAAAAAAAAAGCTTTCAGAGATAAAGAGCAAGTTACCTACATTATTTTTGGCCATCAACTTTCATATCAGCAACAATAGAAATTAAAAAACAAACCTTCCCAAGTACAAAAGAAGAAATTACTTTATTCTAGAAATTTTTACCTAGCCAAATTATCAATGCATAAAATTTCATTTTTAGATGCTCAAAGACTCAAAAAGTTTACCTTGCACATATATTTTCTGCACATGTATTTGAGGATGGATATATTACCACAAAACTTAAAACACAACTTAAGGAAAAGGCAAGAGATCAAGAAAATTCAAAAGCTCAGTAAAAAAGGTCCCAGCTGTGAAGCACAGAAAGCAGTGCAGCTGAACTCAACACTCAAGGTATGTCAGACAGCTGCAAGCCCTAACATGGTGAGGGTGGTATGTGAAACAAGAGCAATCAGAAACTCCAGAGAAAGCAATAAACCATAAAACAAAGTCTACGCAAAATTATGAAACAAATTTAAATGTGGCATGATCCAAAAGTAATAATAAAATATGAGGTTTCATTTTATATATATTTCAGTTGTCAAAAAGTATAGTGACATAAGATTATACTCTTTATGAATCATTCATACTATCTGAATCTATATTGTTTATTTACATTAACAAAACTTGATTAAGTATTCTTTTACTGCTTCCTAATTTTTAGAATCAACCAAAACCAAATGCAAAACATAACCATACTATCATAAGTGAGTGCAGATATTTTAAACTTTGACAATAAAAATGTTAATAAAAGTTAAGAAATAAAAGAGGTATGATGGGAGAATATGTTTATAAGGCCCTTATTTCTTCTTATTAAGTAGATGAAAATCCAGAGGTGTTACATATAGTTAATAGACAAAGAGACAGATTTTTAGTATATTATTTAAAAGTATCTACAGTATACAATTGTTCTCATATTGCTTAATTTCTGGAATGCCTTCCTTACAAGTATTAATCGTGAAAAACATGTATCTTACACACCCCATTACTATGTCACATATTCTCAAATCACTCAAAAGAACTGCAGATCTCTCTATCTCTCTCTCTCTCCCCCCCCTTCCCCATTAACAGTTTGTGTCTTACTTCACTATGTCATCCATTATATTCTGACCTGCATTTCATGTCTGATGTGCTTTTATTATCACCCTGATTAATATTTTAACTTAGTAGAGCCCTTGTTTTTTTCATCCTAATATGCCTCTCTGGACTCCCTAAGTAACTTCTAGTAACCAATAGTAGAATCCAAATTATAAATGAGATCAAAATAATGGTTAGTTAACTCTTTCACATAGATAAATACGCTTACAATTCAACCAACATTTAAATTACTTTAATCATTAAAATACCTGTATAAGGAAGTGGGCCCCATTTTGAAGGAATGCATCATTCCTTATTGGCAATTTGGTAGTGACTTGGGTTTTTTGTTCTGGAAAAATGAGGCTGTTTCTCCTGGATATATTTAAGATGCCATCTTTTGCTCGCAAAGGGTCCACAGCTCCAGCCGGAATATAAAGAGCAGAATAAAACATCTTCACATCTCCTTTAGTTCCTCCTGATCTTGAAAAACTCAAGGATAAATATCGTTCTCCTGGGCTGCTTTCAATCTTCTGGTTTTCCATAGGAAAAAATGTTATCAGGCCATAAACATCATCACTATCCTGAATGTAGAACAAAAGCTGAGGATAAAGGAATAAAATATTAAAATGCATAATTCTCACCTCCAAGATTACCAAGCTGTTTATTTCCTAGGCTATTCTGATTTTTAATATTTCCTTACATATCCTATCTAAAACTGATCCCTTCTTGTATACTGGTATACTAGAGTAAAAGAGGAGACAAAAACAGATTTGAAAACCTTCCCAATTTATAGTTTGTTGAATTTTTTAAGACTAAACTTTTTATTTACAGAAGGGACAACCTTGAGCAAGAGAAGCAATCATCATTTCCAAAAACCAATGTTCTTCCTGCCACATCAAAGTACACATAAATGAGACCTGTGTGATCAAATTCTTTGGCTCTTCTACGACACAGAAATACAAGTAAAGCATAACAAGAGACCTACCTCTGCTGGTTCACTCACTTCTGCACCTCCTCGTATTGTATGAGGCAGAATCTGCAGCAGATAAGCTTCTGCCTCTTCTGGAAGATCATCATCAACGACAGTAAGAGGAATGGATGCCAACATCTGCCCTTGTGCAAAGTGGAGAACTCCAGAACTTGGTCCAATATCTGCTGTTACCGGTGAGGGATCACTGCTATTCCGTGTCAACACCCAGTTCACGGAAATATTCCCATGGGTGCCACCATTTCTGATGACAGTAATATTTTCAAATCTAGAATTTTTAAAAAGGAAATATATACGGTCACGCCATCCACTCTAGTTCCTTTAGATGGAATATTCTACTGTAAAGTTGGCCATCAGATACAGTTAAAAACAGTCTCCATACATAAAGAATGATTGTTTTTAATATGAAGAATTTGATATTTAAATATATATCCATGTTTAGATATATATACAACTATAGTAGGAATTCACTTGCATATTTAAATCACTCCCAAAGTAGGAGAGAAAACAGTGAGACCATGGTGGAGGAAATGACACATACTCTCAAGAGTTCAGCATTGTGTCCAACACCACAAACATTAAATCTTGGAATAATATAAAAAAAATGATTGTAGAAGCAGGGTTAGGCTTAAAATAAACCATACCTTGATGTTGTATCTTCATCAATTATAACTGTCCTTTCAAACAAGACACTGTTGAATGAGAGGACTCCATAAGGTTTGTCATTTGGCTTAATGGTGACTTGTACAACAGAAGGGCTTACTAGCACAGCATCTCCCTTTAAGGTATCTTTTAGTAACACAACTTGAAACGATTCAGCAATCTCTGGTATGGTGTCATCAATTATTTGAAATTTCAGATATGATTCATGAACAAAAGGTGGAAAAACAATAGTTGTGTTTGGCTGAAGATCAATGAAGTCTACATTTTGCTGGGCATGTGCTGTTGAATTCCCAGTTACAATAGCATAACTGATTGAAACTTCATATTCATCAGATCCAATTGGATATCCACTGTCATTCTTTCCACGAATCACTGGAATTATGAGAATGTGGTCTTCCTCCGGTACCAAATAATTGCTCTGAATGAATCTCACAGGACTATCATTTTTCTTAATGATGATCTCAACGGAGCTCCTAGAAGTGTTAATCTCAGCTCCTCCTTCTACACTTTTAAGTTGAATCAAAAATGTTTCATCATTTTCTGGTACCTGTCAAAGAAATATTAATTGTGGCAAAAACATCAATAACTAAAACACCTGCAAAGAAACCAAAGTGTAAAAAGTCACTATGTTTCAATACATTATATAAAAATTAAAAATATTTAAGTGAAGGGAGCCTTTAGAGAGGCTTGTTTAGTGTCCACTTGCTAAAATATTTTCTAAAAGTAAATAACATTTTAGATAGGGAAGGAAAAGTGCATAAGGCAATGGTGTGAACAGATAATGAAGGATAGGTATGTTTTTCACCTTTGATCAATCTTTAGATAACTCTAAAGATTTGACAGTAAAATGATAATATATTCTTAGTAGTTTTATCAGAACTAGTAGGGTCAAAAGCAACAGTCAAGGTCAAAAAATATCTAAGAATCCGGAAAACTACATTAAAATTACATGTAAATTATTAGTTTTCAACCATGTGATTTACTCTTGTTTCTTTATAAAGAGTTTCTAATTCAAGAGTTAAACATATGATACCAATCATATGATTTCCAAAATACACATCATGTCTCTCTGGAGAACAAGCTGGGGAAAATGCTGACATTGTTAAAATTAAAATATATACTCTGGATATATTTTTTGTAACTGCATAGAAATCTTAGGGATAATTTCCACTGTGCTGTTTAAGCTTTCCTTCACTATAAATTCTATTTTATGAATAAAAGTGAAGCCATGGCCGGTTTGGCTCAGTGGATAGAGCGCCTGCCTGTGGACTGGGAGGTCCCGGGTTCGATTCTGGTCGGGGGCGTGTGCCTTGGTTGCGGGCACATCCCCGGTGGGGAGTGTGCGGGAGGCGGCTGGTCGATGTTTCTCTCTCATCGATGTTTCTAGCTCTCTGTCTCTCTCCTTTCCTCTCTGTAAAAACTCAATGAAATATATTAAAAAAAATAAAATAAAAGTGAAAAAATATATCTTTTTACCTCAATAGCAATCAATAAAAGAGGTAAGCTATTTATCACAGAAAATAAAATATGACTTGATTGATGATCTTTTTTCCCCAACTTTACTGAGGATGATTGAAAAATACAATTATATTTAAAGGGTGCGATGTGATGATTTTATATATACACATATTGTCAAATGATTACCAAGATCAAGATAATTAACACATCCATCACCTCACATAGTTAACTCTTATGTGTATGTGGTGAGAATGCTTATGGTCTACTGTCAGCAACTTCCAAGTATACAATACCATAATTATTAACTATCATAACCATGTTGCACATTAGATCCTTAGAAGGGCTTTTACATTTTTTTTTAACTGTTCCTTTTTTTTAATATATTTTATTGATTTTTTTACAGAGAAGAAGGGAGAGAGATAGAGAGTTAAAAACATCGATGAGAGAGAAACATCGATCAACTGCCTCCTGCACACCTCCTACTGGGGACGTGCCCGCAACCAAGGTATGTGCCCTTGACCGGAATCGAACCTAGGACCCTTTAGTCTGCAGGCCAACGCTCTATCCACTGAGCCAAACCGGTTACAGCGGGGCTTTTACATTTACAATTAAAATGTATAGTTAATTACTGCCCCAAATTATAACATTTTTACTGTTCCTGGATCTAAAAGCAAAACGTTTCTGTTAGCTCCCAGAATACAAACTAGTTATACTGCTACCTAATATTTTATCTATTTCAAGAGAAACACTCTTTTCTAATAATGTTTACTTTTTTTATTTTTCTTTCTTCTCTTGGAACTTGTGATTGTGTTTCCTAACTTTTTTGTAGGAAGGTAGAGGGATGATTATAAATTCCTAGCTATTCCCTCTTTTTCCCGCTGGCAATACTAAGATTTTTTAAAGTTAAAAGTCATGGTTTGTTTTCTTTAGCTCACGGTGGATATACTTGCATATTATCATTCAAACTCATTCTTTCCTTAGCTGTCATATATCTCAATCCTTGGTAACTTCAATGTGAAATGCAAAAATAACTAAAGCCTTTCTCTGAACGTGAACATTAAAAATATCAAAACAGCTCTGACTGGTTTGGCTCAGTGGATAGAGCGTTGGCCTGAGGACTCAGGGGTCCCGGGTTCGATTCCGGTCAAGGGCGTGTACCTTGGTTGCGGGTACGTCCCCAGTGGGGCGTGTGCAGGAGGCAGCTGATGGATGTCTCTCTCTCATCGATGTTTCTGACTCTCTATCCCTCTCCCTTCCTCTCTGTAAAAAATCAATAAAAATATTTTTTAAAAAAAATCAAAACAAAAGAATACCAACTATAGTAAAAACTTCTTCGTATTTATAGTAAAATATTATGCTGAGTAAGTAGTACTGTACCTGATCAAAACCGAAATCACTAAGAAAATCAGAAATGAGCATTTACAAAATGCTTAGATTTTTGTGGTTGACAATTATATTCAGGTTCATCAGCTTTTAGATATACAGTACAATTTAATGTGAAATAAATAAGGAAAATATTAACAAGATATATTCCAAAAGAGCTTTTTATAGCTAAAGTATGACTGGACACTATACTAACTTTACACAGGACTGTGTTCTTGAATAATTTCAAATACTGAACACAATTTAATCTTTGACATAATGTTCTCTAATAGGTCTATAACAGAGTCCTTGTCCCATTTGAACATTTCACATATCCCACCTCATCATCAAGCACAGTCAGGTTATAAACTACTATTGCTATGCCCGGGGGAAAGGAGATGTTTCCTTTAACTGGACTCAAATCTTCTTCCGGTGGATTTGGGCCACCCTCTACCTGCAAAGAAATAGATGTAAAATAGTTCACAAGAGTAAAAAAGCATTATTGTGATGTCAGCTGACAAAAATATGAAAGTTTATTTTAAAATGTTGTGCAAAAATTATACTAACCAAATGTCATTCTGCCCTTCCAATTAACAGTCAAGACCTATAATTATAGATCTCAACTATAATTACACTAAACTACATAGTTTCGAAGAGCTTTCTCTTTTAGCCCAACCATTGTATTAAACCTGAGGAAAAAAGCTTATATTTTTCTTGAGAGGAAGTTATTCAAAATTAGTAAATTCTCTTAAGTAATGGAAGCAAATACCAATTCCACCAGGGGCTATGCAAGGTATTTAACAACTCTATGCAGCATTTTCCTCATCTTTCAATTGAGTATAATCTATATATATAAAAGCCTAAGCGGATAGGGCCCTGGGAGAACCAAGATGGCGACATAGGTTAACGCCGGAGTTTGCTGCCTTGAACAACCACTTCAAAAGTGAAACTAAAAGACGGAACGGACATCACCCAGACCCACAGAAACGCTGGCTGAGTGGAAGTCCTACAACTAGGAGGAAAGAGTAACGCATACGGACACTCAGAGGAGGCGCAGTGCTGAAGTCAAATTCTGAGGTGCG